GCCGGGGCCGCTCCCAGCTGCTGCTGCTGCAAACAGCCCCGTGGCAGCTCGAAACGAACCTCGGGGCTCTCGCCCGCTGCCCGCGCCCAGTTGGCCTAAGCTGGGGGCTGAAAGGGCGCGCGGCTATTTGCGGGCTCTTGACATTCGGGGGATGAAAGGGGCGAATTCGGAGGCCGGTAACTGTGCCCCTGTGTTCGGTAGGGGGCAGAGCCTTTTGGAGAACGAAGTCATGTATCGCAACGCTCTATTCTCGAGTCTAGTCTTGTTACAAATACAGTATTGCAGTCCAGTTGAAACGACTCATGTGTAGGCAGGCTATGAGTGAAAAGCTTGCTATAAATAAAATTGTGAAATGCACACTGCTTCAGTGCATTAAAATGGTAGGACACTTTCACTGGACTTCACTGTAAATGTTTGAGAGAGTAAAAGTCTATAAGCCTGTTCCATTGTGTTTCCAAGAAAAACACATACTCTACATGCTGAAATCAAAGGAGTATTTTGTGCAGTTGTCTTCAACATTCCTGATTCTGGGGGAGGAAATGATAGCTTATGCTTGCCTTTATAATGTCTTTTACAATTGAAATTTCAGCTAACTTAGGAAAAATCTTTCTTAAATGGCTATTAAGTCCATAATGTCTCTTTCCTTAAGTGTACAAGGAATCCATTCCAGCCTCATGTTTAAGGTGACTTGTCTAGAAATTCTTAAAATATACTAAAGGAAGAACATTCTTCTGAATAGCAGAATCCTGTTCTCAAACTGTAAGAATGGCCATACAGTGACAAAGATCCATATAGTCCAACATCTTGTCTTCTGACAGTGGCCAAGGCCAGGTGCCCCAGGGGGAATGGACAGAACAGGCAATCATCAAGTGACCCATCCTCTGTTGCCCATTCCCGGCTTCTGACAGAGGTTAGGGACACCGTTCCTACCCATCCTGGCTAATAGCCATTGATGGACCTGTCCTCCATGAATTTATCTAGCTCTTTTTTTTTTAACCCTGATATAATCTTGGACTTCATAACTACAGGTTGAACCTCTCTAGTACAGCACTCTCTGCTTTAGGGATGTTAGAAAACGTTTGTTTCAATAATCATGTAACCACAGCAATTCCTAGGGGTTACACAGTTACTCAGTGCTTCCCCAAGAGGTGGGGCTCTCTGACAGTGCACTTCCGGCTCCTGGTACTACTCCCAGGGAGCATCCTGCATTGCTGCCTCTGATACAGAGGCCACAGCACAGGGTGACAGAGGGGCGCCAGTTATTTCAAAATAATAACTCTTGCTTGTGAAGAATAGCACATTTCAAAATTATTATTTCAGGAGTCATTATTTTGAAATAACTTATTTCAAAATAATAACTCCCTTTTATAGACATGCCCAATGAATAGCAGTGTGAATTTATAGGGCATGTCTACAAAAGTACAGATGGTGGCTTTAACAAGCCATCTGAGCTCAATTGATGGACTGGGGTGTGTTTGCTTGAACGTGAGTGGCTAGCCTGAACGATTGCTCATGCCTGAAGGTCCACTGCACTATTTGTAGCTCACTAGTGCAGGAAGAACTATTGGGAGTCTGTCTACCTAGTCTGGCAACATGCTCCCAGCAGCAGCATGGCATATCCTTAGTTTGTGTGTCTCTGTTCCTGGTCCATCCGAAGGAGAGTGCTACTATCCTCATCTCACCACCATGGGTGCACATAAGGCTAATCACCATGGGTGCACATAAGGTTAATATGCTACATGACTGAGGTGCTCAGTTACTACAGTAGTGGAGGCTATGTAAGTACAATAGATACATGAATATGATGGGGACTAATTTAGCTACAACTATTCAAAAAAGAGATCTTGGAGTCATTGTGGATAGTTCTCTACTGTACAGCAGCAGTCAAAAAAGCGTGTTAGGGATCATTACAAAAGGGATAGAGAATAAGACAGAAAATATCTTAATGCCTCTATATAAAACCCTGGTATGCCCACATCTTGAATACTGTGTACAGATGTAGTTGCCTCATCTCAACAAAGATGCATTGGCATTGGAAAAGATTCAGAAAAGTGCAACAGAAATGATGAGGGGTTTGGAATGGGTCCCATATGAAGAGAGATTAAAAATACTTGGACTTTTCATCTTAGAAAAGAGGAGACTAAAGGGGGATAGGATAGAGGTCTATAAAATCATGACAGGTGTGGAAAAAGTGAATAAGGAAAAGTTATTTACTTATTCCCACAATAGAAGAACTAGGGGTCACCAAATGAAATTAATAGGCAGCAGGTTTAAAACAAACAGAAGGAAGTTTTTCTTCTTGCAGTGCACAGTCAACCTGGAAACTCCTTGCCAGAGGCTGTGGTAAAGGCTAGGACTTTAACAGGGTTCAAAAAAGAGCTAGATATGTTCATGGAGGTTAGGCCCATCAATGGCTATTAGCCATTAGCCAGGCTGGGTAGGGATGGTGTCCCCAGCCTCTGTTTCTCTGGAGATGGGTGACAAGGGAGGGGTCACATAAGGATTACCTGTTGTGTTCCTTCCCTCTGGGACATCTGGTATAGGCCACTGTTGGCAGACAGGATATTGAGCTGCATGGACCGTTGGTCTGACCCAGTATGGACGCTCTTATGTTAGACTGAGAGAGGAAATTTCCATTTATCATGACATTTGGTTTTTAGTTTAGCACTTCCCTCAAAAGCAAATCCAGTATGGTTGCTCTTAGTCTCCAAAATGTATGTACTCTCACATAGCTCTCAACTCAAAAGGTCAGTTGAGTCTGTTTTATAATGCACTTGTATTGGGATATGTATTTGTTCCCTGTGTCCTGTAGCAACCCTTATGTGCTGGAGTGGATCCACAGTGATTGCTGTGGTGTGGTGGGTTTTTTGTTTTGTTTTTTAAATTGGAAGACTTGCTCTTGCTGCTTCCCTATTTTCAAAAGGAAGTGGAGTCATGCGGGTGTGATGGTCTTGTGATGAGAGTTAATTGAGAGCCTGCTAACAAAATTGATTTGTTACTCATCTGAGTTTCTCTTCCATTTTTAGGTTTTGTAGATTTTTTTAAAAAAAAGCTGAAACTAATTTCTCTTTTCTACAAACTCCTCAAGTACAAATAGCATTCAGATGTCTGTAACAGCCTACTTATTACGGGTTACATGGGCTTTCAGAAAATCATTGCTATAAAATCAGTTTCTGCTGCTGCTGTTCCTGTGGGGAAATGTGCTGAGGTGCTGCATTTCACAGAGAGCTGCAGTAAAGCTTAGGCTTGCTTCAGAATTTGTAATTGTGTAAAAGAACAATGTACAGAAAAGGACCTTTCAGCACATACTGCCAGGATCATGGAGCATGGACTTTTTCTGGCAGGAAATCTGGGAGTTTTATTTCCACATAGGTAGCTTGATTTTTATAGACTTTTGGTGGTAGCTGACACCTCACAGTTTGTACTTTAAAACTGAACTTTAGCCATAATAGCACACTTTCAGTTGCTGGTCAGAAGGAATCTTTTAAGTTTCTGATCTCATAACAAACTAATAGCTATTTCTTTGTATTCTCCATTTAATATGGAAGTTCGCTAAGATGAAGGAAGACTAGTAATGTTTTCTTTCTAAATCGAAGGTCAGTTGCAGTCTGTGTCTATGGGGAACAAATATTTGATAAACTCTTTAATCCAGCAGATAAAGATCCAGTAGCTGGAAGCAGAAGCTAGACAAATTCAAACTGGAAATAAAGTGGTAGTTTTTAAATCAAAATTGGATGTATTTCTAGATACGTTCTATTTCAAATACATTATTTTAGGGAACTTCTCTGGAGTGTGTTATGCAGGTCAGATTAGATGATCACAATGTTCCCTTCTGCCCTTGGACTCCAAGACTATGAATCTGATAAAAAAGAATTATAAATATAAATCTTAGGGCAGGACTAGTGTGGAAGAATTCATTAAAATTGTAACCTTTTTGTTGGATGTTATGTGGAGAGGGAAAATATCTAACTTAACTTTTTACATCAAAGAAATCAAGGCTATACATTTTATAGCTTCTGGACTGTGCTCCTAAACACACTTTTTTACCCATGTTTCTTAGGCTGTGCATCACAATACCAAGGTACATATTAAAAAGATATTAAATCCTGTAGGTTTTTTTTGACTGTTTCCTCCTCCTGGAAAAATATTACTTAATGCTTTAGGGCTTTCATTCAGAAAATGGAGATGTCTGATGTTAAACTTTTAAATGAAAGGTGCCGCGGGAGGGAAGAAGTATTGCAAGCCCAAACTGCAGCAGCATTGTGGAAGAGAATTAGTAGTGAAACTGACTAGAATAGTTCAATTGAGAAACTTCAAAATAAACCTGTAGTACAAAAAATACAAAATAAATTGGTTCCACACTCTGGGAGCCTTTGGGTATGTCTCTACACAGCGTTATTACGGAATAATGTCATAGTACGCATCTACACTACAAGCCTTTATATCGAAATAATGTTGAGCTGGAGGAATTCTTACTCTGACTCATGTAACCTTCATTTCACAAGGAGTAAGGGATGTCAAAGGAAGAGTGTTCTTCCTTCAACTTCTTGGTGTGAGCTTCTTTTGAGAGCCCCAAAAGCTAGTTAAGCTATTTCGACTTCAGCTGCACAAATGACGTAGCTGAAGTTGTAGAGCTTAATTCAACTTTAGCCCTCCTGTGTAGACATGCCGTTAGTTCCTTTTGGGTGGTGTTGGTAATTCAGTCCAGAAAAAACACAATTTGTAATGTTAATTAAATCAGAGGTATTTGTTTGGATACAGGTTTACATTAACATATGAAAATCAGGCTATTTGTTTCTGTTACTCTATTGAAAGCTGCCAAGTATCTGTGACAGTGGTCTATGCTAGTGACCAGGGCTTGCCGAACCGCGGCGAGCCCCTCTCGCCAGCCATGCTGTCTAGCGTTCTGCGCATGCGCAGATCACCTGAACCCGGCTTTTACGGGTTACATTCTACTCGCCACGGGCGAGTAGATTGTATTATTTGTCGAGCCCTGCTAGTGACTGTTTTTTTTTTTTCCCCTCCCTCTGAAGATACCAATACTACGGAATTAAACAGGGTAGCTAATAAAACTAAACTATTGGTCTAATTTAATTTCTTCACTTGTGCTATTTTGTTTCACTCCCCTTAAACAATTAAACTGGAATTGTTACTTCCATATCTTTCATTCTGATTATCTTGATCCAGTTGGCTGCTTATGGGATTTATAGCAATTAAAGGGAATGTTCTTAAAGCTTTTTTTTTTTGCTTTTCTTTAAAAAACTTGCATTTTAAAAAGGTGAATCTTTATTGTCAATAAACACATGCAGTTGGGGGCCTTGGAGTATACCAGTGTGTCTCATTGTAGGTAAAAACTCAGTTAAGCAGTTAAACATTGTTTAATTGATTAACCATTTAAATGTTAGGGGGCTGCTGCAGCAGGGCTTGGAGTGTTCTCACCCAGCCTGGAGCAGCCCTCTGCCCACACTGGGTCCCTCTGGGCTGGAGTAGTCCCCTGCCCATTGTGGGAAGGGGGCTGTTCCTGCTGGTTAACTGTAACCCGAAAGCATCACCTGGTAAGAGTGATGCTTACCAGTTAACTATTCACACTCCTACTTCCTTGCTAATATGGAGCAATTCAGTTTTAACTCCAGATTTTCTAACTTTATAGTCCTCACTTAGAACTGAGTTTGACTATTTAATTTCAGTCCAACTGTGTGCCTCTAAAACAGCAAGTAACAGTTTATATCATGATACAATTTAAAGTTAGCAATTTTCCTTGGTGGTGTTTTTTTTGGTTTTGGTTTTTAAGGAAAAGTCTGTTCAGTAAACAAAATAAATAATTAGTTTTCTCTTAACAGTGCCAGATTGGCCTCTCTCTTTGGATTGGATCAGACAGTATCAGGCCATGGGAATGAATTCTTCCAATATACAGCACCAAAACAGCCTAAAAAAAGCCAAGCGACAGCAAGTAAGTACAGACAGTCCCTGGGTTACATGGCTCCGACTTACATCAGATCCCTACTTGCAAATGGGGTGAGGCAACCCCACACTAGCTGCTTCCCCCCAGCAGACCAGGGAGATGTGAAGCTAGCGCGCCCCCCCTCCCCCAGCAGACCAGGGAGACGCGGAGCGGCCCCCCCCCCCGCAGACCAGGGAGACGCGGAGCGGCTTTTCTCAGCAGACACCTCAGCTTGAGAATAAAGGACTGAGGGAAGTGAGGTGTGGGAGAATAAAACTGAGCTCTGGAGAAATGTTTGGCTAGAGTTTCCCCTACAATATGTACCAGTTCCGACTTGCATACAAATTCAACTTAAGAACAAACCTACAGTCCATATCTTGTACGTAACCCGGAGACTGCCTGTAACTGGTATGGCGAATGTGGGGAATTTTAGCAATTTTTATTTGTCTGATGCATGCTTGATGTTCCCTCTGAGTTTCGCAGTGCTATGCACTGGGTGTGAAGGGATGGGATGAAGTCCTAACAAACTGAATAAAGTCTACATGTGTGACTGGACAATCCGGAGTATACATTGGAATTCCGAGTGTGTGGAACATTCACACCCAGCAGCCAGCACTTCTGAGAAAAGAAATTAGCCATGTCAGAGCAAAGTCTCTGATCGAGAGAAAACAGTCCTGCATTTCAAGAGTCAGCTTCATCTGGATGTTTCTGGTGAACTGCCTCTGTCACCAAAAGTAGCAACAGCCAAAACCTCAGTCTCTTCTGACAACTTAGCCTGGTTCTGAATTGTCAATAAATAAGCCTGCTTGCTGAAGACTGAAGCCTAGGCCAGTGAACAGTGTCTTCATGCTGCCTAATATCAATAACTGCTGCTGTCAGCTAAGTTAGAATGCTGCATTCTTCATTATAAACCCTGGAGGGATCTATAATTCTGGTTAGCTTGCTGTTGGGAAATCCAACAGAGTTAAATTGCAAAAAGTAGTTCATAAGATGTCAACAATAACCTGCAAAAAGAAGTATTGAGGGGAGAAGGAGACTGAATTAGTCCAAACAGTTGTGTTAAAATCATGCCAGGTAGGGAGACAAGCAAAGTGTGGAACCAGAAATGAGTGGATAAAATAATGAAAGGACTGGCCATTTCACCCATCACTCCATTTCTGTTGCCCTAAAAGGACTTTGGTGAGAAAAATTGGCTACTGTATCAGGCTTTACCATTATGGCTGCTATCCCCACTGTGTTCTAGTACTCTGGACCTTCTTCATACTGATTCTGGAAGTTGTCCTGACCAGACTGGGCCACAGTTGAGAGAAGGGGCTTAGTGGCATTGTGACCTCCACCAGCTCAAACCTCCAACTGTATCAGACTCTTCTTCCCCAGGCTCACTGCCACCACCTCACCTGTTGTTTCTTTTCTTTCCTATTCCTCTCCTTTTTTCTTCTGTCTACTAAGAGTCTGGTTTAGCTAGGGAAGACTGTAAAGACTTTGTGTGCTGATAAATGGTTTTTCAAATCATACAGCATATTGTAATCTGTACTTCACTGTACAATGCAAACATCAGCTAGGGGTGTGTAACAATGCAGAGTGAAGGATTCGGTTGCTGCTGTTGTGAAGAGCTGTCACTGTTTTGTTTGAAGCGGATCTCAGACCTGTACAGATGTCAGTAGGCATGGTTTCCCTTTTTATTGCTACGTATCATTTCTATAGTATTTCACCCAAAGGTCATCACAAAACATGAACAAATTTACCCTCCTTTTACAGCTGAGTAACTGAGTTCAGCATAGAAGAGGGTCCCTTTTCTTAGGGCATGTCTGTATGGAGACTCAGTGCATGGGAAGTTGTGGTGTGTATCTTTGCTGCATGCACAGTGGCCATGTGGACCCTGCTGTTGCATACTAGAATTTCTCTTTTGCACTTTAACCTACTGTGCTTTTAAACAGCAGTGGTTCTTTATGTGCTAGAAATGTCCAGTGTACAGTAGTAGGGTGGCCACTTAATGCACAACAGGATGGTGTGCTATAGGTTTACTACCTGGCTTGCTGCACACTGTCTGCTTACAGACATGCCCTGAGACAAGGAATCCTGTTCTGTTCTGAACTTTAGGTAAATTAAGGATTGCACATCTGCATTGGTTGTTTCCTTGGCTTGCTTGGGAAATGGAGACCCTTAGTAGTATTACACAGCGATCTTTGTGGTGTTAGCTATTACCTAGCTAAAACCGTGACATTAGCTATTCCGATGGTCCTGTCAGGTGCTGCCTTTTTGTCCCTCCATTTGAGATTCACTGCAAGGACAGGTTGCACTAGCAGCAGCTGTTGGGCAAAGAGCGGCTCATGCAGACTCCTATTTCTCTTCTGAATTTGGTTCTGTGGATTGGTAAAGATTCGTTCTACGTACATTTAAAAATGGATGCACCATCTGTGTCAGTCTAGATTAATCTTACTATTAGTTTGATAAACTGTCTCCAGTACACAAATCAATGCAATCTTAAACATAAGACTACTGTGCTGTTCCATTGCTGTCACTTTCCACTTGACTTACTCTTCAGCAGGTCAGCCAGCTCAGAAGACGTCGACAACCACAGCAGCTTCAGCAGCCCCATCAGTATTTGTTGCCGCAGCAGTTCATGCCTTTCGATAGTAAGTACCATAGTAGGCAGAGCTGTTGTTTCCTGCCCTGGCCTTTCATTGCTAGAGATTTGGACTCCAATTTTAAGATGTTATCACAAGAGAAAAATAATTTTGGGCGAGAAAGGGGGCTTTTACGTTGGTGTCCACATGGCATAAATGTCACACAATTTGGAATGATTCTTGGGACAAAAAAAGCCTATGAATGGAACGTGCTGTGATTTAGGACAACATGGTCCATTGCCATATATGCCTGCGAAGCTCAAGGCTTGAAGAGTGGAGGATGTTGCATGCTGTGATTGAAGAGTAGGAATTCAGGCATGTCACTTGCACTGCCTGTGACCAGTTCTGTCAGATCATCTTTATCAGTGTTAAATTCACTCCCTGGAAAACAGGAGGTAGAAACTAGAACCAAAACTAAGAACAGTGTCTGTGTTCTGCTGTGGAAAGCTCACTCAGGTTTAAAAAGCACCAGAATTAAGTTCCCTATTTCTTTGGGGGCAAGCTAAAGAGATCTAGCTCAACTAAATTAGTCTGATTCAGAGGCCTGCAGGAAGTGGCCCTTAGACACCAAGGTGAAAAGGTCCTCATAAACACCAAACATGTGAAGAAAGATGACTCTCTCACTTTGCCTTTTAGTATAAATGGGCAGTATGTGAAGCAAGGCAAGTATGGAGCGGCTGTGGTGGGGAACCATGCTACCAAAGAGGTGAGAGAAGTCGCGTTTTCCCCTTTAACATACTCCTATACTAAAAGCAAATCTTGTGCAAAGTTGAATTGCTTCTCGTTTGTTGAGTCATTTTTAGTCCACTCTTGTCTGATGATTTCCAGCCCTGCTAGGCCTCTTGTAGCTCAGGTGCTAAGCTACGAGCTACTTCTGTAGCTGCACTTGTTCTCTGAGCATTGAGCAGGGCTGTTATAAAGGGACTTTTGCATCTGAGACTGAAATGAATGAGAGAAGGTGGAATGTATGTTCCATTGCAGTCCTTTTTTATGCTAAAGCTCTTTTGGTATTCATTAATTATACAAAAAAATCAGTTCTCGACTGCAGCTCTAGTCTTACAGCTATTTGCAGCTCTGTTACTTCAGAATAATGTCAGTTATTCCAAAATAACACAGTCTGCATCTACACTACAAGCAGTTATTTCTACATAATGTTGAGCTGGAGGACTTTTCCTCCGACTTTCCTTGCTCCTTGTAAAATGTGGGTTACAGGAGTTGGAGTAAGAGTGCTCTTCCTCGGACTTCCTGCTTTGTAGACTGCAGCAAAAGCCAACATAAGTTATTGCAACTTAAGCTACGCAATTGATGTAGCTGAAGTTACATAGCTTATTTCAGCTTTAGCCCTGCTGTGTAGATGGGCCCTTGGTGTAGAATGAAGGCGTATTTAGCAAGCTGTATTAAAAGAAATAACCTAACTCCCATCTGCCCTTCACTTGCTGCTGCCCCTTACCCTGCACCCTTCCATCCCCAGCCAGCCTCTCTCCTTCAGTTGTCTCCTTAAATTGGTCTTTAAAAAATAAAAAACAGAAAAATTTCACTGGTGTTGAGATTTTTTTCTGAGTTTGTTTTTAACTTCCTCCCCAAAAAAAGTCTGGGGTGAACAGGGAGGTTGAGGCGTGGCCAAGCATGATAGAAGATGTTTATACTACCTATACAGCTCTCTTGTGTTTTTATAAAAGAACTTGTGCTCAGCTATGCATCTGCACTTGTTAGCCTTGGTTGGACTACTGTTCAGTAAACTGGTGATGTGTATACTTAATCTGGCTAGATACCTGCTGGTCTTTGCTAACTGATCTGCCAGGGTATTGAGATCTTTTCATCTTTCAGTGAACCAATCCTGGGAAATTAATGTGTTAATGAAAAACAATGGCACTGTGGTTAAGCTTTCAAAAGTCAAGAAGTTTCAAGTTGTAGTTCTCATAGACTTTAAGGTCAGAAGGGACCATTATGATCATCTAGTCTGACCCCCTGCACAGTGCAGGCCACAGAATCTCACCCACCCCTCCCAGAATAATCCTCTCACCTATATCTCAGATATTGAAGCCTTCAAATACTTTGAAGACCCCAAGATGCAGAGATCCTCCAGCTGTGATCTGCACCCCATGCTACAGAGGAAGGCGAAAAACCTCCAGGGCCTCTGCCAATCTACCCTGGAGGAAAATTCCTTCCCAACCCCAAATATGGCGATCAGCTAAACCCTGAGCATGAACACCTATCCATTACCATATCCCTTGCATAGATACATTATAGTAATCTTACATGATGAAGGGTTCATATCAGACGTGGGCAACCTGCAGAAGTGACACACATGCAGAACAGGGGCTTGTGAGGTGCATGTTGATTACACAGCATTGACTGTGAGCCATGTGTTTTCTCTGCATCCACTCAAAGCACTGCTACCGTTCAGTTGGCACCCCCTGCGAATTCTATGTGAACAAACATAGCAAACTACTCTAGCCCAGAGACCATCTTGGTTATGACAATCTTGCGTCCCACTGAGATGGAGGGACACTCATTCAGCCCGCTCAGTAACCTAGGTTGCCCCATTACTGGGTCATATGTTCTAAGGCCAGATGGGAGTATTGAGATCATCTTGTCTAGGGGTAGTCAATAGGCAGATCACGGGCCAAATCTGGACTGCTACGCACTTTTGAATGGACCCAAAAATCTTATTTTCTTTTCTCTGAAGTCTGAATCTTGACTATACCTTGACCAAGAAATTTGGACCTTGACAAAAGAGAATAGATTACCCCGATCTAGTCTGACTTCTGACGATGAAATCACTTGCCAAGGGCCAGGTCAGTGATAGGCTTGGGAACCAGAGCCCAGATCTCCTGAATTCTGGTCTGGTGCTCTGTCTGCTAGGCTGCATGACATCTAGAGGAGACGTACCTGAACGCAGCTCCGCAGAGTGCTCAGCGTTGCCATTAGACTGTACAGTAGGAGGAAGCAGAATACAGAATCAGAATCACAGCTGATTTGGTGTAACCAAAGCAAGGTGTTTAGCACATGAATATTTAAGAGCTGTGAGGTGAGTGTCCAGGCCAAGTATGTGTAGACGGAGGAGTGTTATACGTGTATGCATGTTCTGCACATGTTGTAATACAGAAATGCATAGATTCATGCTGAGACTAGTGCAAACTGTTATTTACAGTTCAGCAGTTAAGGTTAATTGTTTTGATTGCTCTTACTGCTGGTACACTTGGCAAACAGTTGCCCTACTGCTACTGTATCTCTGTAGTACACACCAGAATTTCAGACTGGGAGTTAATTGTTTTCCCCCTTGTTTTCCCCTCCTTTCCTCCCTCCATGTGGAATCAAGTACAAGATCATCCTTTATATCAGTCAGCAGCAGCAGATCACGGTTGCCAGGATCCATCCAGGGTCTATGCTCACGGTAAGATTGCATTAGAAAATCTTTATTTTTCAGTAGTTGTGTAGGGATGGGAATGGTTAACTGGCATCTTAGCCCAGCTGGAGCAGCCCCCTGCCAGCCGGGACTGCAGCATGGTGCCCATTTAAGTGGTTAACTGATTAAATGTGATTTTACATCCCTAATCATATGTAGGGAATGTTAGATAATAAGTAATTGAATGATAATGAAACTGCATCAAAACTTAGTAGTTACACGTTTATTCGATAGTCCTCGGAGGCAGAGCAGGCAGCCAGTAGTGCTCTCCTGACCCCACTTCTGGTGAGCCTTCTGCCACCCCGCACTGTTGCCTCTGCATCAGAGGCAGCAGCATGAAGTAGCAGCAGCCTCAGTCCACAGGGCAGAGCTCCCAGCAGACAGAGGCTGTGCAAGCATCCCATGGAGGCTGAGGGGGGCAGACGGCTGCATGGAATCCGGTGCTCATGGGCAGTTGGCTTTTAAGCTGACTCCCCACAAGCACCACCTCCCGCCTCTTGCTGCCTCTGATACAGAGGCACACCTCTGAGCAACACAGTTACTGACCTAACCCCTGGTATATGCAGTAGGGATGTGAAGGTTAACCTGTTAATTGTTGAGCCTCAACCTTAACCCTGACACCTCTTCCCCTTTGTTCTCCAGTTCAGTTCCCATGTTCTAACTGCTGGTGTTTCCTGCAGTCAAGTGTTGGTGGTTCAGTGGCTCTTGGGGGGGATGGGTTTTGTGTCTTTGTCATCCTGGGACCCTGTGGTTCTGGTCAATTTCAGCACGAATTTTAATGATCCATTCAGTTCATTCAGCCAGCTTGCCTGTGTACACGTGCACCCTCCCCACCCCTGTGGCTTAGTCTATTCTCAGAGCAAACGTAACCCTTTACTTCCTACTGGGTAGCAATGCAAAGTAAGGCGGAGAAACTGAAGAACAGCAAGATTTTTTTTTTTTTTTTTTTTAATGAATAACTGTTACTCCTGGGTTCCTAAAATTAGACTCCTAAATTTGTGGCTATGGACCCAAAATGACAGAGGCTAATTTTTCAGAAGTGCTAATTACCTACCAGCTCCTGGTGATTGGGACCTGCATATGTTTTGCATCTCTGAAGATCAAGGCACTTAACTGTCAAAATAGAGATTTCCTGGCCTAATTTGGGTCATCTGTTTTAGGGAAATTGTGCCCTATATGGAAATTTGTAAATCATATATTTAACAAGCTCTAAACACTTTTCTTAAGGGTACTGATCAGAGTAATAAAGGCTAACTTCTGGCATCTAAGCCTGCTTAGTTTTTAAGCAATAAAACTCCTCTGTCATATAAGTAGATTCTTTCTAATTTTGATATGGGACTGATTTTCCTTTTCCATAGGTTCAGCCCAACAACTACTGTACATTTTATGATGATCAGCAACAAAACTGGTCTATCATGTTTGAGTCAGAAAAGGCAGCCATGGATTTCAGCAAACAGGTAATCTTCTGAAGGCACAGGCTGCATTCTTGTGCTAACTCTGCCTATGTTGTTGGCAGTGGAGTTAGATTCAGACCATCAAACAAAAATCATGGTTACTCACAACTTGCTAAGCTGCATTCTTAATCAAAGTCCAGTTTAGTTTCCTCTCCCCACCATAGTAGGACCAAAATGCATCTTGCAGGTTTGTAAATGTGCTACATTCTGGTTGAGTTTTGATTAGCTGGCATCCTGTTTGGCTCACTTGAATACCAGGCAGCATGTTTCCAATTGTCATGCTTCTGTAGCGCTTTCATCCAAAGATGTGTTTTTAAAAGTTAGTTAAATCCATCAGCACCCTGTTTGAGGGAAGTGGTATTTTCATTTTACATATCAGGGAAATGCTGCATGAGGAGAGGAAACATCAGTAATGTCCACATGTGTGAAATGTTTCTGTAACACTTGGCTTCTTTCTGGTACAGTAGGGAATAAGAGAGAGAAATGTCTTCAGTCTAAGTCAGCGGTTCTCAAACTGGATAGGACCCCAAAGTGGGTTGTGGCCAGTGTTCCCTCTGATAGAGGCAGTGGAGAGTGGGGGGAGGTGGCACTGCAGAGACGGTGCTAGGAGGAACTGGCTTTTAAGCCAGCTCCCCCCCCAGCACTGACTCCTGTCTCTCCCCGCTCTCCCCCTTGCTGCCTCTCATACAGAAGCAGTGGGGGGAGGGAGAAAGCAAGTCGTCAAGCACTCAACTCGAGTACTGGCTCACATCCGTACTACTAATGCAGAGTCCCTCAGCCCTTTTTACCTCTCTGCTCTGGATCTGTCTCCCACCAATCAAACTAAATTTTAGCCCAGGGTTTCTAACCTCTCCAGGCAGATGGCCATCTGTTTACAAAGTCAGCATGGCCAAACACAAGCTCTTTATTTTTCCCTGCTGATACTAGGTGAAAAACATTTTGGTCTGGAACTTCAGAGTTTCCACTGATTACGTCTAACAGTGGAAAGTAGCAGGGTGCTGCATTCTTCTCTCCCCCTGCCCCCCCGGGCCCACAACCCAGGGCTCAGGTTTTGATTTCAATCCTGGGTGGCTGGGCTCAGGTTACATGTCCCCTTTGGCTTTGGCCCCCCACCTGGAGCAGGCTGTGGTTCCCTTACCCCCATCCCCTTGCTTCATGGTTCATGTGGTAATTTTGGTTGTCAGTGAAGTTTGAGAACGCCTGGTCCATGTGGAATTTGTTGTGCTATTGCAGCTGGCCATAGACAAAAGGTGCTAATGTTTGGACTTCCTTTATAGTTCTGCATTGCCAAATCAAACAGCAGCCCTTCACTGGACTCAGTACTGTACCAGGATCTCATTGCTGGAGAGGGGCAGGGATTGGAAGTAGGAGACTCTCTGGAGGTTGCTTATACCGGTTGGCTGTTCCAGAACAATGGGCTTGGGCAGGTAAAAGAGCTTTTGCTGCTAGGAATGGGTTAATACTACATATTCTCAAATGTACATCCTTGGAAGAGACTTGTAATCTGAAAATTATTAGACAGGCAAAGTATTTTCTCATCAAAACTTACCCTGTGATAGGGTATCACAGATCCAGAGGATCAACAACTGAGGGTTTGTCTTCAATACCAGGAGATCAGTATTGCAGTGATTGATAGACTATAGCTTGATTTAGCGTGTCTAATGAAGACCCACTAAATCAACCCCCAATCTCACTCCCGTTAGCTTTAGTATTCCACCCAAACAAAATCATAAGGTATATACCACAGTAAGTTGACCTACATTGTTGTTGATGTAGCTGGAGTTGCATAACATAGGTTGTCTTAACCCCATAGTGTAGAACTGACCAAAGAGGCCCTTCTGTCTTTTAGTCTGCATGGAGAGCAAGCTTATATCTCTATTTTCCCTCGTTGGGCAGCGATACTAAATATAGGGGAAACTGACGCACACATAGGATTTGTGTGCAAAAAACCAGAAAATTATCTTAATAAATTCATTTTAGTATTGAACAGTGGAGATAGTAATAAATTTAATAAGTATTCAGGAAAAGATGATCAAAATACTTATTTTTAATACCCAGCACGGATATTAAACAGAAGAGTCATGAAAACAGAGCTAATTATTCTAGCTTTGAAAATGGCTTTACCAGGCCTCAGGTGTTACTTTACATCTGCCATCAGAGCCTCTCTAGAAACTTACAAATGTTTGAAAATGTTACTTTTACACCACAGGTTGTGCTTGGTTTAGTAACTAATTGGTTATGAAATCTTTGAGGGAGGTTGAGAGCATCATATTCCTACAAACAACCTATTTTGAAGTTCTCTAAGCTTAAAAAAAATGCACAGGGAGGCCTCTTCTATACATCCTATCCTCAGTCAGCTCTGTGTGCTATAAGGGAAGAACATTTTTCCAGCCAGATACATATTTAATAAGGTGATCATTCCTTCTTTGGGAAGCAAGTCACTAGGATGTAAGCATAATGCAACACTCCCATGGCCCTGTGGCTTGTGATCTCTGCTACAATATAGAAGATCCAAGTCTAATTTCCTTTCGTTGATGTAGACACTGTCTGTCCATTTAAACTGGTAGTTCATAAAGCAGAGCATTAAGGTTATACAGATGTATAATGCTTTACAGAAGTTAAAATCTAGTTGTCTCCAGTAATCTCCCAGACAGGTTCATTACTACTGCAATCTGGCTATGTAGTATTTAATTTGATTCACTCTTGCCCAAGCTGTAGAACTTAAAATTGCTTTTCAAGCCTGCGTCTCTAGTTACTGCATGCCTATGAACTGTTACCGGGCAGTTGGTTAGAAACTCTGGGTATGCTGCGTCACTCTTCTGCCGCCCCTGCTTAGTGGTCAGTTTTGAGTAACCACGCTGAATGACAGAAGAGGTGCTAAGTATGAAATAAAGGACATTATTTGTTTTTGTTTTTTTGAATACTGCCTTACAGTTGCAAACTTCATCAGCCCCATGGTAGGAAATCCTAGTGATTGTACCGTTTAACTTTCAATTCCATAGGTGTTTGATTCAAACATCAACAAGGACAAGCTGTTGCGTCTGAAGCTGGGTTCTGGAAAAGTCATTAAGGTAGAACTTTACCTTCCATCTTCTGTGTGAAAAAGTCTCCTAGATCTTGGAGAACTTCTGACAGTTCTGTCTGGATTCTCACAAAGCAACATAGCTTTTGTTGTATCCATGACAGTGTGATAAGAAGCAAGAATAGTGCTTCTTTCAGTGACATGAAAGAAATTGCTGGCTTTTTAAAAAAATCTCTCCTTGGTTTGCACAGCATCTCACATCTACATTTACTGCATTGTCCTTGTTCTCTCTCAGTAATAAAGGGAGGGACGTCTGTAGAACTTTCCTGTGCAGTAGAAAGGAAGCTGCCTATTTGGAAACAAATCTTCCTATCAGGAGATGCCGTGATACTTTTCTGGAGGCAGCACATTTAGGCTGCACAGCTCCCAGAAAAGTAGCTTCCTTGTGAGGAAACTCGGTTTGGGGAGAATGTATTCTGTTGCTCTTTTTCCCCCCCCACACTTTCAGATCACTTGAAGCTGCGTGTGGGATTTTTTTTAACTCCTCTACACACAACCTGTGCATCTCTGTCCCCACTTGGGTCCATCAAACTGGTGCAGATCTGAGATTCTTTCATGTTGGATGGAGGAGGGGGAGAGCTGCTTGTCTGCCACAGGCTTGTTTGTGCAAATCCAGGCATAAATCTGCCCCACGCTAGCCTGCTATGACCTTAGTGTAAGTGTCTGCTTGGACCATGCTGCTGTGGACCACAGAGCTGTGCTCAGCGTCAGCATGCATCTGAATACCGTATACAGGAAGCTACTGTGGGCTAGATTTATACCCCCATGTACCCAAGAACTAAGTCTCAGGGCTGTAGCTGTACTCATCTTTCTGCAAAAACAATGAGTTTTCTTAAATGCTACATCTAGACTTAAGCATGGCACTTAATTGGCCAGTTTATTAATTTACAGGAGAACAAACTACCAGTGGTTACTTTCTAAAGCAGGGGTGGGGGGGGGGGCCCTTTTTTGGGTCAGGGGCTACTGAACCACAGAAAAATCAGTCTCAGAAGTTGGGGGCCACACACAAGTGAGAAGGAAAGGGGGGAGCACCCTCTTCAGGAAGCAGGAGAAATACACTCCCCTCAAGATCCAGCCCCAAGACCGGTTTAACTCTTCCAGGGGCTTGAGGCTAGTAGATTTTTGCCCCTCTAGGCTTTGGTGAGGGGCCAAAAATGAGGGGTTTAGTTTTGGGGGTGGGGATGCTTTTGTGGATGAGGGTAGGGTGCAGGCAGGGGTTAAAGGTTGGCAATCTGGGTGGGAAGTAGACTGCAGGATCAGGGCGAGGGTGCAGGGTCTTGGTGGGAGGTAAGGTGCAGTGGTTGGGGAGCCAGGGTCTAGGTAGGAGGGAGGGTGCAGGAGCAGGCTGGGGGGTGCAGAGATGAGCTCTTAATTGGCTATTATAGGTCCTTTGTTTTATCCTAAATGGAGCAACACTCCAGATCTTTAAGAAACTCTTCAATATGCATCCTGGATCCTTTAACCTGGCCTAGAACAGCTGTAACAGAATGATTGCAGATATTTTCATGCTGCTGAGCTTTACAAATCAACTCTCGCTTTTGTATTTCTGAAATGTAAAGAGTTGGGAAGAAGGGATGATCGGGATGAAGAAAGGAGGAAAACGACTTCTCATTATTCCTCCAGCATGGGCTTATGGGTCCCAAGGAGTAGCCAGTCGCATTCCTCCTGATTCCACCCTGATTTTCGAGGTGGAAGTGAAGCGGGTGAGTGTCGTTTTCCAGATGTACAAAAATATATCTGGGTTGGGCTGCTGGTTCTATCATTTCTACCTGTGAAATAGTAACCCCCCTTCTGCATGAATCAGAAGCTTCCATGTACCCAGTAAAATATCAGGATACGTACAAAAAATACCTGCATTACTAAACCACATCTGATTTGAGAGCGCTCTTTACTACTTCTTCGTAAGATGTCCAGGAAAAAAATAAATTGAGCCTTCATCAAATTATGAAGAAATGGTAAGGGAAACTTCAAACCTATAATTCCTAAATAGATGTAAATTTTTGCTCTAATGCAAATGATAGTGTGATGAATAAAACATTGGCCAGAATGAAGCAGAATACTAAAGAGTTGTTTCGGGACCCAGAAAAACAGATCTGCATGAAATATCTTCATTGTGATTTTCTTAGGTGAAGCTGGTAAAGGAGTCTGGCTCTGATGGACAGAGTATTGGTTCTAGGGATTCATCTGTATCTTCCCCAGTACCCAATTCAGACAGCTTCTCTGCAGACCCTGTCGGATTACCTCCTTCCTCAATACCTCCGAAGCCTGGGTAGGAAAATAAACACTTCCTATAGTGGTATAAATGTATGCAATGTTTGGCAAACATAGGCCCTGATCTGTGTGCAGACCTCATTGCAGGATCAGAATCACAGATAACGTTTGCTGTTCAAAAACGTTAACATTTTCTGCTGTTTGGATAAGGTTTGCTTTGGGATTTGACACAATCTGAGTGGAAGGCAATGGAATGATTCATTGCTGTGCAGCATGCCACTGATCTGACATGACCAGTGTTGTAATTCTTGATTGTTTTATTACTACACCAAATGGAAGCCACTTATGTGACTGGTGATACAAAGTTTGGAAAAACAGCACAGTTCTAGTTGTACCGTATTTTCCGGCGTATAAGACGACTTTTGATGCTAAAAAACATCCCCCAGAAATCGGGGGTCGTCTTATACGCCGGGTATACAGGCGGCGGGGCAGCCCAGGCACGCCGGGGCTGTCCCGCTGCCGGGGCGTCCTCAGAGGCTTTGCTCCCGGTGTCCCTGGTCTGCTGGAGACGGTCCCCAGCAGGCCAGAGGCACTGGGAGCAAAGGTCCCGCGCTTCTGAGGCATTGCCACAGCAAAGCCGGGGAGGCACGGCACTCCGCTGCCGCTTTGCTCCCGGTGCCTCTGGTCTGCTGGGGACTGTCTCCAGCAGACCAGGGACACCGGGAGCAAAGCCGGGGAGGCGGAGGGGTGCTGGGGTATAAGACGAAAACCTATCTTTTAACTAAAAAATTAGGGGGTCGTCTTATACGCCCAGTAGCCTTATACGCCGGAAAATACGGTAACTTTCTTTGAGGAAAGGCTGTTTCAGATTGTGATCAGGTCATCAGTTAGCATCAGATTGTGGGGACGCAGTGTTCAATTAGCATGACAAAAATAGCTGTCTAGTTCACATAATAAATACTAATAACATACCACTTCTAACAAATTCCATTTTCTCATTATTGGAGAAATGGCTCAAGCATTGGAAATACTCATGGTATAATATAATAATGGGTGGCTAAGTATAAGGTTGGAGAGGGGTGGGGGGGTGTACAGTAGGTATTTGTTTTAATAATACTTATCAACAACCTGTGTATTCTGTAATTCCACAGTCATTGAATTTGTTACAGAACAGTGGTCCAGAGGCAAAATTGGTTACAAATAGCTTTCCATACATGAAGTATTGAAATATCTTCTGATAGGAAAAGAGAAGTTTTGCTTGTGGGGATTGCAGTTAGTGGGTAACTTAGAAATTTAGTGCATTCTTCAGATATTTTTCCTAACTTTAATTCCAACCTGTACTTGTTTCCTCTGCAGCGAGCCAGCTGTTCGGGCCAAGTCTAACTCTATAAGTGAACAACTAGCAGTAAGTATTGCTTTAGCTAATGTGAAATGTGTACAGGAATGTCAAAATCCCTAAGGCTTGCCCAAATTATTCAAATAATGCTAAGGGCCTATCTGAAATGCCTGCAAGGAGGGCATTATCTCCAACACTTTTATTATGTTATTATCCAGAAGCCTCACTTGGAATCAAAGCCTAGTTCTGCTGGGTGCTGTACACACCTGGGAAGCCTTATTCCTGGTTCATTCAGAATTCACATTGGGACTTTGAACTCCCAGCAAGAGTTTTATACTTAAAACTAAGCTCCCTGGAGAGCTGCTGGAATGCTTGAGTGTAATTCAACCTGAAACAGTGGTTTTACAAATAATTGGGCAACATTATCTGTCTGTAATATACAAGCCCCCTGCAGCTCATGGTTTCTTTACAACAGCCAATCACCTCAGAGGAGCCTGAAACAACTATGTTCCTTGTGTTCAGGGGCTTTGTCATCCCTGACGTTTGGAAAGAGAAACAGTCTTATTCCTTCACTTGCCTTTGGCCTCTCATTTGGTAAATCGTTTTAAAAGGTTGCATCTGTCATCCTGTTAATGGTGAGGGGCCTCTTCAGTAGCTCCAGTCTTAAAAAAAGCTTTTCATTTCACCTTGCCCAGTAGCCTGAAGGTTATCCCCCAAGGGTCAGGTTTTCCCCACTTCCCTGGGTAAGGGTTTGTCTGCAAGGATGGTGGAGTTCAAATAGCGGTTTCTGCTTTGAATCCCTCTTGCTTGATCGTTTAGAGGCATTGTAGTCGAGCTTGAGGATTTCCCTGTCATTTTTAGTTGTGGGTGGGGAACTCAAGGACATACGAGTCCATGTACTCTTTTTAAACAGGTTTTTGTACAATGACCATTAAAGGGTAACTTTGTATTAATTTTGCATTTAAAGACTTGATTTCTTTGGCTCCCTGGATGTTAATAGAGTTAACTCTCTTCTTATATGTACGGCTAAGATACCATGGTGATAGTCAACTTACTATCTATTAGGGATGTAAATACCCATTTAAAAAGTTAACTGGTTAACCACAGAGAGCTGGGATCCCACGGTGGGGGCTCCTTCTTGCAAGGACCTCTGCGGCTGGGGTCCTGCAGCCAGCCCACGGTGGGCAAGCAGATCCTCCAGCACAGCCCTCCATGAGTGGGGCTGCTCTGGCCAGGCCAGGCTGCCAGTTCACTGGGTAAGCATTCCAGTAAGGCTTTTGCATCCCTACTATCCATTTAATTTTTGAGGACCTCAAAAGTAAAGCTTGTAACCTGCAGTGTAGTAAGAGTCTCCAGTGTGCTGTAGGACAGAATGGACGACTGAGGCGAGCTGGACTCCTTTGTATCCCTTATACAGAGGGAGCACAGCCATGGAATGAAGGAGTTGGTTAACTTGGAGAATCAGTTATGGGCGTTCAGGGATGAAACTCTCCATCTTTGGCAGTGTCGTAGCCACGTTGGTCCTGAAATGCGCGCGAGAGACAGTGGATGAGGTAATACAGTACTTCTTATTGGACCAACTTCTGTAGGGGAAAAAGACAAGCTTTTATGCATCACAGAGTTCTTCCCCCATATGGAGAAGGAAACCAGAGTCCAAACTAAATGGTAGGTGGGGCAGATTGTTCAGCATAAGGGATTCGCACCTGTTCTAGAAAGCCACTTAAAGGAATTCCTCTGCAGTTGTGGGATAGCAGAGGGTTAGGTTAGTAGGCACTAGCGGGTTACAAGTTGTAATGGACCATAAGACAAATGTCTCTGTCAAGTCCTTGTTCTTGAGTGTTCAGCAGAATTATGGATTTAAGGTCCTAAGCTCGTGTTTTGTAGGTGTCATGGTGATTTTCTTGAAGGACAAGACCTGAAGTCTGATGCAGAATGATTGCTTTGTTCACCAGAGGATGAGGGGGGGTTTTGTGTCTGCTCTGAGTGATCCTGTCGATTCCAACCAGGTGTGTGCACACCGTGTGCATGAATGTCAAGAACTTTTTCCCTCAGCTGCCCACATCAAATCAGCTGGGGAGCAGCTCCTTAGAGTGGCGCCTTCATGGGGCTCAGTATATGGCCCTGCCAATCTGCCCTTCCTCCTCCCCCTTCAGTTCCTTCTCCCCATCCATGGCGGTGTTGGAACAGTGGTCGTTTGCTTGCAAGTGCTCCCTCAGCTTCATAGTTCTCGGTTGTTGTTGTTTTAGGCTTATAGTTGGTAGTTTAGTTGGTGAGTGGGATTGTTCTGTCCTCTCACCTGCCTGGGGCTGTGGGACATGTTGCAAGCCCAAGACCTTAAGGCCATGCCAAACAGCGACTCCCACAACTCGTGCCTTCGGTGCCGGGGGAAGTTCATCATTCAGAGTGCTGCAGAATTTGTGAGGCTTTCAAGCCTCACACAAAGAAGGAAAGAGACCTCTGCCTAAAGTAGCTCCTGATGGAAGCTGCATTTGGACATGCGGGCACCCCAGCATTTGGAGTGGGAAATAGTACAGAAGAAGGAGTCTGCTTAAGAGTCCTGGCATCATAAACCTCTCTGGAGCCACCAAAATGCCACAGAAGGGCAGAGAGTGGCCAGGCTGCATAGTGGTCAGAGCCCACCAGCAGGAAGCAGCTACAAAACAGCCGAAAATACTACCATTGATTCCAGGGAGCCAGGCACAGTCCTGCATGTGGTCCCTGTCATGGGGTGTAATTGTTTGGCACTCTGGATAGGTTGTGGTGTGGGCTGGAAGCTGGTAAGTAGGGGTGTACGTTGGTACGGTTTTTCTGTATTGAAGCAGGTTCTCTTGCTGTATGTAGGTGTACTGTTTCATGGTGCAAGCTACTTCTCTGGTTATGTGTCCTTTTTTTGGGAAGGCAGGTTGACGTGTATTGCAGCGTCTATCCCAGCCTCCCTTCTAAGAGCAAATTCTGTGGTATCTGAGTGTCTGTAGATAACGTTTTTGGGTGGGTTTTGTGTAGTTACTGGATTTGTGAAGGTAGGTGGAATGATCAGGGGACTTCCTGTGTATTGTCGTTCCTAGGGTTTTGTTGCTAAGTTTATCATGGTGTCCAGGAAGCTGATGTGGGCGTGTTTTAGAAGAGAGTTTGATGAAGGGGTGGGGTGGTCAAGGTAACTGAAGCTGTAAGGGAAACTTACAAAGGTGTTAAGTTGTCTGTTCGGAGGATGAAAATATCGTTGATATCTCTCAGAGATATAATTGGCTTTGTGGTGCATGTTTCTAGAAGTTTTGTCTCCGTATTCCATGCAGAGATTGGGATGTTGGGGACCCATCCCAGTACACATGGCAGTTCCAATGGTATAGACAGACTTTGTTGTTTAAATTTAAAATTATTCTCTGTGAGGCTAAACTGGATGAGCTTAGCAATGTTTGGGTTGGATTTCTGTGTGTGGTACATTACCTTACAGATATTTGAGAGAGGCAGCTTTTCCATCATGGCCAGGGTGGTAGTGTATAGAGAGGTTGACATCCGTGGTGGCAAGGATGGTGTTCTAAAGGAGGTGGTCGAGTTTCTGGAGGAAGTTGATTGTGTCCAGAAGGAAACTACCCCATGTGTGGGGAATGGCTTGAGGTGGTTTCTGTGCATCTTGTTGTTCCTTCAGCTAGATGTGATGGATTTGCCTGGGCTCCCTTGTTAGTGTACTTTTGTGTATATAGGAGGTCCCTGGCATAAGTTCCTGGAGGATGAGGTTATAGTGTGTCCCTTGGAGTTGTTTCAGGAAGGATTTAATTCCCTTACATTTCTGTGTGCATTGTCACAAAGTAAACACTCCGTATCTGACCTCTGTCCTTGTTCTCAACGAAAACCTGCACACTTTTAAAAGCCATGCGGCAGCAGGAACTCACCAGTGTGTCCCACCTTAGATTTAGCTTGGATGCTCTGATTTCTTTAATTAGACGTGAGGGTGAGCTTCGTGAAGCTGGTCCCAAAAAGAGTTGGTCCAATAAAAGATATTGCCTCCCCCAGCTTATTTTTCTATCTTGTTAATGTGTTTGTGCCATAGATAGCCAGATAGTACTCAGGAGACTAAAATCAAATGTAAAAACAGAATATTAACGCTATTCTCTCTTTAGCTAAAGTATTATCTAAAGGGCCAACAGATCCTAGGAATTTTCTAAATATACAGAGCCTTTCTTCATTGGCTAGCTGAAAGACTGAACAAAGCTTGTACTGCCAAGTCCATGCGGAGCCTTAGTACTCAGGATTAGTGTCAAGAGGACACTGAAAAACAGGTTAAAAGATAGAGGCAAAGTAATTGTCAATTATTTCTTCCAGAATCCTGATGTAGCAAAAGCAAAGCTTATTTCCCGGATGGCTAAAATGGGACAGCCTATGCTACCTTTCCTTGCAGGGACAGCAGGCACCCAGCTTGACTCCAGTGACTCAGAAATAGAGGTGCGTCATGAAGCACTACTACCCTTAAAATGTAGGTTTGATACACATTCCAGGCTGTGAGAGCGCTATTGCTGAGTGCAGTGGATGCTCTGCCTGCCTACAGGGTGACTACCTGCCAGTGTCTTCTGCTTTTTAGCAGCTCTGCTGGGACACCTTGAATGCAGAGCCCTGCGCAGATACAAAATTGGTATCTGTGTCTGAAAAATGAGTCGCAGATATAGATGCAGATACCTGTGGATATAAAGCAGATATCCACATCCGTACCTGCAGATACCTGTTGCTATAAAACAGATATCCACACCCACATCCGCAGATGCAGATACCTGTGGATATCTGCAGGTTTGCAGGGCTCTACTTGAATGACTAGAACTGTTGATATTCAGTTCCATGTGAGGCTAGCTTTCCTGTCAAACTTAATTTCCACGTCTAATCATATTTGGTCTTAGGAGTGGCTGTGCATGAAAACTTTTGGCTGAGTTGTTAGCTTACTAATACTGACTGAGATCTGTGACTGTTTTAGGACCCAAATACACTGAGAGGAACAGCACAGCCTGTCTCTTCATCCCCCAAGAGACCTTTCTCACAGCCTGCTCACGCCGTACTGCCTCAGTTGACAACACAAGGTAATGAACTGGCCTGCTTGCATTTGATAAGTAGGAACTGCACTGATGAACTAGCATGTTCAGTCACTTCCTGCTGCTCAAATGGTGTGTGCCTTTAAGGAACAGAAAGAAGGAAGTGACTAGTGAGTGACACTCACATCACTCAGCTCCCCAGATGGGCTATTTCTTGTGCCCATGAGGCTGGGAGTCGATTACTTCTCTTGAGTTAGCCTAGCTTATATAGAAGTGGCCACAAAGCAAAGTAACATTTGAGCTGCTTATGTCCACTTGTCACTAAGACTTCTGGGGACATACCCATGGCTCAGTGAGCTGCTGTAGGAATTCTCCCCCAATCCACTGGGGGAGAATATTTCTGAACTTTCCATGTGCATGAGGGGAAGAAGGGGAATTGTGGGAAGGTTTGGCGGACTCCTAGCATTCAAGAGGAGCTAGCTGGCTTCTGTGCTACACAGTGGTCTTGTTAGCAGCTGGGTTGTATTCACTGAAGCTTTAACCTTTACCCCAGCACACCAGACAGCGTGAGTTAAAAGCACTACACGCAGCGTTTGTGTGTGACGGGGACTCGGGTTGGGGCCAAACACTTGCTTTCTTTGCAGTGTAGACAGCCCTTAATCTTCCTTCGGCAGGCTTGTGGAACGTGTCCCGTAGTTGTGAACCATGCCGAGGGCCCATACACTTGTGTCAAATAATGCAGGCAACTGGGAATGACTGTGAGCAACAAAGGAGACTTACTGTGCCAGGTGTCTTCTCTCGTTCCTTTCAGTGCCTCCTCCGTCTGTTCCTGGTCTCCAAGCACCCTCTGCTGCCCTCATGCCTGCAACCCTGCAGCCCCCGTCAGCTCTCCCTGGAAGTGCACAGAGCTTTCAGGTATTGAAATCAGACTAGTAGAACCTATCGTGCATCTGGCAGCAGCGCTCCCTTAGACACGTGCTCTCGCCTTTGGGAAGAGGGGATCCACCCAAAGAAGAATGTTGGAACATCAGAGGGTTCAGACAAGAGCCACAAGAATAATTAAAGAACATAAGAACGGCCACTCTGGGTCCTCCCAGTGGTCCATCTAGCCCAGTACGCTCTGCTGTCAATGGCCGGTACCAGGTGCTTGTGAGGAAAGGAGCAGAACAGGCAATCCGCGAACAATCCGTCCCGTCATGCAGTCCCAGCTTTTGGCAGTGAGAGGTTTAAGGGGACACAGCACGGGGTTGCATCCCTGACCCTGTTAGCTAATAGCCATGGAGTCACAGAACTGGGAGGGACCTTGGGAGTCATCTAGTCCAGTCCCCTGCCCTCATGGCAGGACTGTTCTACCTGGACCATTCCTAACGGGTTTGTTTAACCTGCTTTTAAAAATTTCTGGATTTTTCACAATCTCCTTAGGCCATCAATGGACCTGTCCTTCGTGAACTTACCTAACTTACTATTGGCCTTCACAGCCACCCCAGCAATGAGTTCCACAGGTTGATAGTTGCTAATCCATTAATGTGTCAGCCTGTTAATTTCAGTGGGTCACCCTGGCTCTTGAGTTATGTGAAGAGGGTAAACAGCACTTCACAAGTGGTGTCGTGAAAGTGAATAGCAAGAGTTATGGTAAGAAATGTTGTCACGATAGGCTTGGGGGGTTTCAATGACCTGTTCTAGGAATCCTTTTATGGCAGTTCTATGGCCTGTGTTGTGTGGCAAGTCCGACTAGATCAGCAATGGACAACCAAGAATAGTGAGTGGGCTGCACGAGTGGCCCTCCTTCATCCCAGTGGGCTGCAGCTGCCACAGCTTCCCGGGGCTCCATCTGTGGCCCATGGACCACCCGTCTTCCCCACACCCATCTTGTGCACTGGAGTCCCTCAGCCTCTCCTCCTTCCCCTCCCTCCCATAGCTGAAACAGCTGCCAACAGCCGATTCAGGGAGTTCCAGCTCTGGTGGGGTAGGGAAGGAGCAGGAAAGCAACATGAACTAGTGTATTTGTGGCACTCCGAAAGTGCTGGGAGTGAGGGGCAAGAGTAGGAAGTGTGGGGTTCCGGTGTCCCAGTGCATGAGAGGCACGTGGGGGGGCAGAGAGGATCCATGGGCCATCCCAGTGGGCCACAGGTGGCCCACCACTGGACTAGACAAACATAATGAGCCCGTCTGACTTTGGAATGTATGGAAGTGAAATTGACTAGTCTACTTACTTTGTCCAAGATGAATGCAGTGAAATTAAGCAACCGGCAGGAAGTATAGTGGATTAATAGCACCGAAAGAACTGTTTAAATCTCTAGTACTAGAATCCATTTAAAGAAATGAATTGAATCAAGAAATGAACAATCACGAAAGGCCAGGATTTTCAAGAGCACATCCAACATGCTGAGCTCTTTTGAAACCTTGGTTCATATTGTATCCTCGTTTGAAAATCTAGTCCTAAATGACCAGAAGAGAATGTGATTTTCCTGACATTGGTGTTTAAATTTTTTAACTTAACATAACAATGAATCAGGGAAATAATATTCAAGAGCTACTTGAAGAAAATAAATTAGCGCAACTGCATTCTCTGTAACTGGAGTTGAGAGGCCAGTCAAAAGGGTCCACTTGTAAAATTCCACAGTGAAACCCTAGCACACAAACAAAGCTATTGAGCACACCTACCTGTCAAAACAAATCTGTGTAACTTTCACAGGCAGCTCCTTTGCCAGAAGATTGTCCCACTATTAGACCTAACCACATGGAATGTTTTAACGCCTAAATTCCAACTGCCTTCCACTCCTTCATGTAAAGAAAATGTGTCAGCTTTGGTTAAAGCAGGAAAAGTGTTTCTCCTCCACTTCAAACACTACTGAGCAGGCCGGGGTTTCTAAAAATAATTTATTTTTGAGCCAATTCCAAGCACCGTCATTTTGTATTAAATGGAAACTCTTGGAATAGCCTTTTTGACACCCCCCTCTCCCTGCAAATGCTTCAGTTCTTTTTCCTGAGTGAGAGAAACTTGTCGGGAGAGAAATGATTTGCATTTTGTGGTAGTCATCTCTAAGTCAGACTGAAGTGAATGGGTTCGTTCTTGTTCTTCCTTAAAAATGGCTACAGTGGACACTTCATAGAATCACAGGGTAGGAAGAGACCTCAAGGGGTCCTCTATTCCAAAGCCCTGCTCACAGCAGGACCAGCCCCAACTCAATCATCCCAGTCAGGGCTTTGTCAAGCAAAGCCTTAAAAACCTCTGGGGATGGAGATTCCACCCCCCTCCCTAGGGAACCCAGCCCAGGGCTTCCCCACCCGCCTTCTAACCTAGACCTCTCCCACTGCAACTTGAGCCCATTGCTCCTTGTTCTGCCATCGCCCACCATTGAGAACAGCCTCTCTCCATCCTCTCTGGAACCCCCTTCAGAGAAGTCGCAGGCTGCTCTCACATCCCCCCCTCACCCTTCTCTTCTGCAGATTAAATAAGATCTTCATCCGTAACAGAAATTACAGTGACTAGCATGTAACCGAAACTGTTAGAACAAAACAAAATGACGTGTCTTCTTCCCTTAGCCCTATGCAGGAATGGCATATTCCTATTCACAGACTGCTGCTGCTTCCCAGCTCCAGCCTGTAGGACAGATGTATCCAGCGCCTTTCCAAGGTATGCGCCCCATACGGCCCCTCTCAGCTGCACTGGTGCATTGTAAATTACGTTTTGTACTGAATATCCACACAGGACTGTAGGCAGATGCACGTCCACCCTGTTCAGGGCCCTTACGTCTACCAGCTTGGTTTTATATTGCGTCACCTTATCTTTTTAATGCCTGATAAGAATGAAATGATCCTTTATCGTTCAGATTCTGCCCCACTCTGAAACGCACGATTGGGGAGGGACTAAAATGGGTAAGAAATACCTGCGGCCTGTTCTCAAGTGTGCACATGGCTAACAACTCTAACAGAGCCACCTGTTAAATGTCATTGTAAATTCGTTGTTAATCGCTCCACGGCACGAGTTATCCCATCACTGTGGCTGCCAAATCTTTAAATTCCTGCACGGGGAACAAATGCCTCTAACAGAGCTCTTCAGTCCGGTGTGAGGGTCCGGGGGCTGGCCCGTAATGCTGCATACGTCCGACTGTAAATACCCCACGGGAGGAAGTTACCCGGGCTCTATTGTTAGCAATCTCTAGAGCGAGTGGATGTTTCCTGAGGGTGCCGGGTTCGCAGCCAGGCTTCCGGGGCCGCATTAGACTTGCTGAGTCCCAAGGCAGAGAGCGGACGTCCCACCAAATGCGGCCAAAGCCTGGGCTCTGAGTCCTGGCCCCTGAGTTAAAGATGAAGCCCGAGCAGCTTAGCTTTGCGGGGCACCCTGTGATGTGGGCCCCAGGCAGTTGCTCCCCCGCATCCCCCGGCGTTGGCTTTTCTGTACCGGAACACAGTGGTGGCACCAGTGGGCTGTGCCGTGTTCATAGCGGGGGGGGGGGATGCTGCTCTAGGAATAGTTTGGGGCATTTCTCTGGCCTGAGGCCCACACCTGGGTATGGAAATTCTGGGCAGGGGCATGATGTGGGTGGTACCGAGGCGGGGGAGGAGACTGGCTGTCGTGTGGAGGCTCTGGCCTGAGGGTGGAGCCATAGGAGAGCAGGTGGGTCCTGCTCTGGTGACTGTGCTTACGGGTCTGGAGTTTGTCCCGTTGCTGCCCAGGAGCTGGGCTCACTGCCACGGGCACCTGGTAGGGAGGGTTGGGGGAGGCTGCGTCCCAGACAGCGAGGCGCGTGGCCTGGCCCCTGACCACACTGCCCAGGGCTCTGGCACTGCAGCCGCACCACGCAGCATACCGGAGCTGGCACCGCTCTGGCTCTGGCGGGAGAGAGGGGTGAGGCAGCAGATCAACAGCCACCCCCGTTTACTGCACTGCCTGGAAATTGGGCTGGCTCTTCCTGGCCCCCTGCCCAGTGGGCACTCAAGGACTGGACTGAAGAGTCCGACAGGCCAGATGTGGCTTGCAGACGTAGCCCCGCCCCCGTGCTGCACTAGATGATCCTTCTGGCCTGGAAATGTGTGAATTGCACAGACACCTTCATTGATATCCTGCAGCCTTCGCCCTGGGTCCTTCTCGTTAAAGCACTAGCATGCCTCATCTTCTAGATTGCCTGAACCAGACGGTAGCCCCCGGAGCGGCCAGGCTTTGAACATGGGCCAGTGCTAATACTTCTGCTTCTGCAGTGGCATTTTGCCACGGTAACCAGTCCTCCCTCTCCTTCCCATTCTAGCCCCTAGTGACGTCACCTCGTTCTTGATGACAGAAGCTCGGCAGCATAACACTTAGCCGATAAAATGGATCATCTGGCTGCCAAGGTAAGGCGCTAGACCTGGCGGTAGAGGAGAGAGCCCTGCTGACCTCATTAGGGGGGTGGCATGTTTGGAAGGGATAAAGCCACTTGCCTATTGAGGAGTTCAAGCTGCTGTGTTAGGCGATCATTTAGGCTTGTAATGGTGGAGCTTTCATTAATGAAATTTCACATGCGATTTGACTACTTTAAAAACGCCTCGTGACAGCGGGATGATCTGGATGAGGGCACTGTCTGTTCTTGCTTAATGCCTCTTCTCCAAGGGAGCCCACAGCCCTGCACAGGGCCACGTGGCTGCAGTTTCCATGCATAATCTGCAGGTGATCAAGTGGAGCTAGGAAGCTTGAATTGTTCACCAGCAAAAGTCGGTTCGATAAAAGATGCGATTTCACCGATTTTGTGTGTCTAGGTGAAGTTGTGACAGCTTGAATTGATTGCTTGTGGAGTCATGTGACTTCTAGTCTGGGCTAAAGGCTCCGATTCACACCCTCCTGGGACATGGCTTCCATGTGGTTTGTTCCTTTCAGGTGGAGGAGTTACAGAAACAAAGCACTAGCAACAATTTACTGCTGCCTGGCATCTCTTCAGTTACCATGGAAACTGCCATGATCATGAGCAACATCCAGCGCATCATTCAGGTGAGGGGGCTGAGCGCTAGAGTAGCCCTGTCAGCTCCTCGGCAAGGAAACACGTACCGTCTTCTGCGGCTGCCTCAGCGGTAGCGACATTGCTTTGATGTTTTTTGGCAAATGAAGTTGGCAGGAGGGGGCATGCCTCCGGCCACCCTAACGACGATGACTGGGCTCCTATGCTGTGCTTACGCCTTAGGAGAATGAGCGGTTGAAGCAGGAGATATTTGAGAAGAGCAGTCGGATTGAAGAACAGAACGAGAAGATCAGTGAACTGATTGAGCGGAATCAGCGGTGAGCGATGGGAGGCTATGAGCGGAATCAGCGGTGAGCGATGGGAGGGTGCAGCCCCCTCGTGGTTACAGACATGGCTACTTAGCTGTGCTTTTGCTTTTGCTTTTGCCTGTAGCGGAGGTCTTTGTTTCAGTGCAGAGTGGAACAGAGATCATTGCGGGTGGGGGGCGGGGGAGGGACACCTAGATTCTTTTGGGTTCTAGCACAAGGAGAAGTAGGTACTTGAGGTGTGTGTATCTCTGAAACTGGGGGTGGCCGTAAACTTGAGCCCTGACCCCATCACAACAACAATCCTTTTGTGTCCGCACTCTGGTTATTCTTACTGCTGCTCCTTCGGGTCAAGTGGGGAAGCCACTGGTCAGTGTTCCCTGTAAGTCCAGTGCTTGAGCAACCACCCAGGATGTGATTCCACCCAGCTGGTTAGCAGAGCACTCACAGTCAGCAGCATATGTTTCTACTGTTGGTGCACATCTGCACATGCCTCGGTGTATAGAACAAAATTTATTCCACACCTTGATGGAAAAACTTAGGTGGAACATGAATGCTGATGCATGGGATGTATTCCCCATTGATCGCTGTTCTCGGGGATGTGCCATACAATGTCTCTAGACTGGCCTAGTCTCCCAAAGGCAGTAGTGAAAGCCCCAGCACTCGGATGTGAAACACTTGATTGTACTGCAGCAGCACTGTTCTCCTGGCAGGAGGCTGGAACCGAGATATTAACCAATTTCCTCCTATCTCGGGATTCCCTTATGCTAGAATAGTGTGTACACTTCCGGTTGCTCATGCTCCAGTTTTTAAATTCATCAGTCTTGAGCCAGTGCAACCAAGAGCTGCTAGGATGATGAAGGGTCTAACCGGAGAGGAGCTTAGCTGGTTTAGTCTTGCAGCCCCGAGAGCAGGGATGCGATTGCTCTCCATGTGCATTAGGAAAGTATGTACCAGGGAGGGTGAAGAGCCGCTTAAGCCGAAGGACAGGCTTGGCATGAACAACGGGGCATGAGCAGATTCAGACTGGAAACAAGGAGGTTTCTAGCCATTGGAGGGGGGAGGTTCTTGGACAGCTTCCCTGTTAAAGCTGTGGGAGCAAACAACTTAATTATCTCTGAGAAGCAGGAGGAATTTGGGTACAACTGTGTGATGGTGCTGGGCAGAGCTCGGCAGCCATGGTGTCCTCTCCAGTTGACCTCTTACCGTCCTAAAGCTTCTGCTTCAGCCAGCCAGGAAGGGAAGCCCCCTCCCCTCCACTCCTGTGTAGGCTGAGAGGGGGTTTCCCTGCTTCAGAAGCACCAGGAATGTCTATGGCTGGAGATGAGGCCACGGATAGGGTGGGCCCGGGCTCTGAGTGGCCCTGAATATTCTCGCTCCGTGCTTGGCTGGCTGGTATGTTGCCTCAGGAAGGTGTTTCCCCCAGCTCGGATTGGCAGCGATGATTCGGGGGGCGGGGGAGTTTTCACCTTCCTCTGTGGCACAGGGTGCAGGTTACTTGCCGAGATGACCTGGGCATGTCTCATTTAATCATTTCCCGCTCAAGGCAGGTGGTGTCAATCACTGGAGCACCTCGGCCCCTCCTCGTCTCTTTGTAGAATAATCAATTCCTGTGGGCTGTCAGCTTCGATTTCATTTTTTGGTGGCTGTGTCGGGAGCGAGGGAGGGTGGCCTGAGCTGTATAGGAGGTCAGACTAGGTGGCCTAATGGTCCCTAGATCTTAACTAGCCGCATATCCCCGAGTTGTTTTGGAACGTACTCTGTTAGTGAGGCTCTGTCACAAGCACTATTGTCCTTCCTCCATAATAGGTGCTCCCGAGTCCCCTTTTGTGTTTGTGCTCAGTCGCTTTCTGTGGTTTCCCCTCCTTTCCCAGGTATGTTGAACAGAGCAACCTGCTGATGGAGCAGAGAAACAACTCCTTGCAAACAACAAATGAACACACTCAGGCAAGGGTGTTGCATGCAGAGCAGGAGAAGGTAAAACTGGCCTAGCAGTGAGTACAAGCACAAAGCTCTGACTTGGAGGCTAGAGAGGGGGTTGCAGTTTGGATCTGACAGACACTGGGGATTCTGACTTAAAATGAGGGCTCTGTGTCTGTCATAGCTTCCAAAGCCATTACCTTGGTGTTCATTGTGCTCTGGTGTTTGCATGGCCCCAGCCCTGCAGTATCTGCACTTCTATTTCATAAGGCTTTAAGATGGCTTAGCTTGGTCAGTCTTTCAACTGCTAAATTGGTATGTAAGGTACAAAAGTCACTCTGAACTTTGTTTCCATAGCACATGGTGGCTAAGCCCCCTGTGTATTAGCAGGGCCTCAGAACTGTTTCCAAATGCATAGTGCCTATTTTACTGCATGAGCAGATTCCCAGAAAAGCTCCTCTCCGCTGCAAAATGCCAGGTAGAACTTGGCCACTGCCAGACAGCCACATACCAATCCTCTGACCTGCGAGGGTGGTTCTCTAAAATGCCTTGATTTAAAAAATCATGAGACCTGAGCTTCGACACAGTAATATCTTTCATTGGACTTTGCCACCTTGTCTCTCAAGTAGCCATATCGCTTTCACGTGGAACAGGCTGTTAGGAACCCGATGTTTCTTTCCGTCCTGCTGCCTCCCGTTATTTACTGTAGCAGCCTCATTAAATACAGCCATAGGTTGCTTGTTTGGCCTGTGCAGATGCATACGCCAATGGAGGGGGCTTTGAATGTGCCACTAGCAATTGCTGGCCCCTTTTGTGCTTTGCCAGAATAACACAGGAGCCTGCACTATCCTCCCCGCACGAGTGTGGTGTGCGTTGCACGTGTATTACTGCTTCCTGTTTGGCACCGCTCACAAGCGTTTCCTCTGCTTCCTTGTGAGAATAGTGAACAGGCAGACTTCACGAGATGGAGACGGTTGTTCCTGTCTTTCCCCCCTGGTTAGGCGACACAGAGGATCCAGAGCAGAGCAGGGGGCTGGGCCACGGAGCGCTTTGCTGGGGAATGTTCTCCAGCAAACCCCAGAAACAGTAACTGCTGTAGGTGGGCTCATGGCCTGAGGCTGCCACAGCAACTCCCCCTTCAGAGGCTTCTCCTGGTGAGACACCTGCTCTCCCTGCCATTGGGCTGTTGCAGTTGTCCTGCGAGGGGGGCTGGATGCTGTTCTTGTCACACGCCAGCCCCCGGTGGCGCTGCACTTCGCGGATGTACATGATGGAAGCCTTTACCTTTCTGCTTGGTGTTCTTAACTCTTCCTGTTTCCTGTCACTGCTCTTTTCCCAGCACATGCTGCCAGTGGACCGGGGCTGGGACCAGGTGAGGCAGAGTGCCCCAGACTGTCTAGAGCCTCGGGGTTTCCTCCTCTCCCGTAGCTGACAGCTGACACTTGCTCTAGCTTTGCTAAAGTCTCCTCCTGAGCTGAAGAGTCTCGTGCATCTGTCTTAGAGATGAGCTTGTTGCCAGCCACTAAAATGAATCCAGATGGAGGATGTGGTCAAACAGGGCCCGCGGTGCTTTCCAGTGTGTCCCGAAGCCACCCTTAGTTTGAGTAGGGAGATGAGGCCTGTCCCAGCATGCTGTGCTGCCACAGCCCCTCCGCTCAACAGGCAGTGCTTCATCTTGGGCCTGCAGCTTCCAGCAAGCTGGGTCTAGTGTCTGCCACCTAGTTACGCAAGGCGAGCCTGGACTCGGCTCCTAGCATTGCCCTGTGAGCAACTTTTGGAGGTGCGCCCCCCCCCCACCACCCGCACGCAAGGCGGC